GTGTGTGTGTGTGTGTGTGTGTGTGTGTGTGTGTGTGTGTGTGTGTGCTGAATGCCACTGAATTTGTGAACTGCAACATGTACCTTATAAAATAAAATACCATGTTATCTTAATTTTAGCTTAATAAAAATTAAGTAGTCCCTTCATATTATGCATGACAGCTTTTAGGTCAGTAGAAAGGCTAAGTGGTTAGAAATTTTGTAGACCTAAATTTGATGAGATAATGTTAGGTTTTAATCAAGTACTGCAAATATCTAATGCTTATGGCTATATCTTTTTTAATATTTATCTTCAATCTTTTTTTACACTCCAGTCGTTATCCCCTGTCCTGGTTAGCCCTTCCACAGTTCCTCATCCCATTCCTCCTTGCCTATCTCCTAGATGTTTCCACACCCCCACCCCACTCCATCCCCCCCCCAGGCCTCCTCGCTGCCCTCCTCCTCAGCTTCTTCCAGCCTTTCCCTAATTCAATCACAGGGGTCAGCAGCTTCTGTCCATTGGTTGGGTGCAAATATCTGCATCTGACTCTTTCAGCTGCTTGTTGGGCCTTTCAGAGGACAACCATGCTAGGCTTCCATCTGTAAGCGCACCATGGCATCAGAAAAAGCGTCAGGCCTTGGAGCATCTCCTTGAGCTGGATCCCAATTTGGGCCTGTCACTGGACCTCCTTTCTTTCAGTCTCTTCTCCACTTTTGTCCCTGCAGTTCTTTTACACAGGAACAATTCTGGGTCAGAATTTTTGATTGTGGGAATGGCAACCCCATCCCTCCACTTGATGCCCTGTCTTTCTACTGGAAGTGGACTCTCTGAGTTCTCTCTCCCCACTGTAGGACATTTCATCTAAGGTCCCTCCCTTTGAGTCCTGAGAGTATCTTATCTCCCAGGTCTCTGGTACTTTCTAGAGGGTCTCCTACCTCCCACGTCCCAAGTTTGGATATTTCCATTCATTCTGCTGGCCCTCAGGACTTCACTGCTGCTCCCTCCAAATACCTGATCATTTTCCCCTTTTAATGACTACATCTTTATTATTTTCAATTTTAAAAATGAAAGGAGAGTTCTTTGGGTCTACTTAATGGCCACAATATTAATTTCTCTAACATAAGATTCCAATCTGTCATCAGTTGTCTCATCCAAAAATGCATTTATTAGCTCACTGCTTTATAATCCATAATAAGACTTAGATAGTGCCAGAAATATGCTATCTGTGCCAGCCATCTTGTTCAAAACCATTTGTTGAGTGACCACAAAGTGTTTGTCACATCTAAATAGAAACAACTCTGCCTGTGCCCTTCAAATAGTGTGCAGGCCCATGAGAAAGTTACACTCACAAAGATTCCTCAAAGATTAAAGCACTGCCATGAGGTAGGTGCTACTTTCAATTATCAAAATTTAAATTAACTAAAAATTTTGGATTTTTATATTAGTATGATTATACTTATAAAAAAAACAAAACAACCAGGTTGTTCTGTATCACTTTACAATATTTACTTATTATATCTTACAGTATACAGCACAACTCAGGGCTAAGAATTAAATGCTTATAAATGTATTATATTTATTGTGATAACCTCAAATAACTCCTATGTCATTCCATATATTCTCAGGAGGACATTTAATTCTCACTCTGATTGAAAATGGCATAATACAATAAAACACACCACAGAGTTCTATTTTTAATTTACTTTTTATTTTTAACATTTATTTATTTGTGTGTGTGGGTGTGTGTCTGTGTGTGTGTGTGTGTGAGAGAGAGAGAGAGAGAGAGAGAGAGAGAGAGAGAGAGACAGAGACAGAGAGAGACAGAGAGACTGACTTCATACCTGCACACACTTAATCTGAGCATTCTGGTACATGTGTTTTGGCATATTTACATATATGTTTCATTCACATGAATTTATTTATCTTGGCTAATATAACTAGGAGTGGGATTGCTAGGTCATACCACTGATATGCACTTAGCTTAAGATAGTACCTAAGTTATCCAAACTAGATTATAAATCCACACTCTCACCAAGATCTCCGTCCCTCAAAATGGATCTATAAAAGGACCCTCAAAATGCACTATAAAAGGACCAAAAGAAAAGGTACATATTGTTACAAAAATATTCAACAAAGGAGTAGACTCTGTTTGTCACAATTCAGCATAAAAAGATAATAGCATATTTTTCTCAATTTTGTTAATTGCTTAAGAATTTCATACAATTTTGATCATATTCACAACTCCCATATTCCTCCTAGAACCATTATCCTTGCCCTACCTACCTACCTACCTACCTACCCACTCATGTCCTCTTTTTTCTTTAAACTCATCAAGTACAATTTGTGTTACTCATATATTCTTAGATGTGTGGCTTCACTGAAGTACAGCCAACCCACCAGAGACTTCATTCTGAAAGGAAACTGACAAAAGCCTAATTATTATGGTGGACAAAAGACTTGAATAAGTATTCAAGAGAATACCCCAAATGGCCCAATGAAGTCATGAAAAGGTGTTCATTATCAGGAGTAAGCTAAAAACGTACTGGGTAAAGCATAATGAGGTATTATATATTGAGAGTTAAAATTCAAATGACTGATAGTATCAAATAGATTTAAATGATTAATAATTAGAATCCTAAATAATACTTTGAGTTACTTGTTATTACCCAACCATTCTACTCCAGTCTTCTGAAATCAGTATCATTTATTTTATTTTACAGAGAAAAAAGTTCAGATCAAGAATGCCTAATTTCTGAAAGTTATTTTCTATTTTAAGTCCATGAGAAATTTATACCAGAAATTCCTACCATAGATCCTCTCATTTTCCATCTGTCTACCCTTTTGTGTAGACTAAAGAAAAGTTTTCAAATCTATATTGCTTTGCAAAAATAATTAGTTTACCTTAGGCAATATTAGCAAAATGTAGCACTAAGTTGACAAAAAGTTCTGTATCAGCTAGTGAGGATATCAAAATTTTCACTCATTTGCAAAATTATAATATTCAGACAATGTCATAAGCCATCCAGCTTCTCTGTGTGTAATCAGCATTATGAACATATAAAAAAGTAATTGGCACTCAATAAACCTGACTGCTCATTGAAGGGACCCTGGCAGCAATGTGTTAGACAACTGTATATGCCATCATACATAGTATAATGGAATGAAAAAAATGATTGAGTACAACCATGGACAAGGAGCTTAATCTGTCTAAATGTTATTCCTTATTTAAAAAATAATACCACCTATCTCGTAAAACACTTAGCCAAAAAAATGTCTAAGGCAAACTGATATTTGAAGTTCAAGAGCAGATAATATTTTCATTTAGGTAGTTATGGTTGTTTTCAATGCTTTCTGAGAACCTGAAAAAGTAAACATTGCCCATTCTGTTTCCAGTTCCACTTGTCCTATACAGACAAGGAGCGCTATAAAAACGAAGAGAGACCTGAGGTCCAGAAGCAGATGCTTGTGGATATGGCCAAGAAGCTACCAGTGTACACCAGAACCGGGAGTGGAGGTCAGTTCATCATTTCTGCCAGGGAGTCAGTTAGCAGGAATGTAAGGAGCACCAAGTTCATCTGAGTTGTCAGGCTAGCATCCTTCTCAAAACCACATTTCATTATACAAATTTTCACATGCCTTTTGTTCGGTACCAGTAACATTTTATTATACTGCTTTATCACATTCCTTTCTATAGAGTCAACCCTCTGTCTGTTTTCTTTTGGATCATCTTATTTTTCTGATGCATTTTAAAACAAATAGCAAACAACAATACATATCTGCCTAAATATGAATTCGTTTGTGGATAAATTTGCATATGAAAATATGTAAATATCTTAAGTGTACTATTCAACATGTTTTGAAAAATATACACACCTGTAATCAAAGCTGCTAAAAAAATTACCATCACTATAAGAAGGTTCTGTCATGCCTCTACCCAGTCAATCCCCATGCACACATATTATTGTGATAGTTTTCCCATGGTGCTTAGCTTTGCCTGCTCTAGAATTGTGTATAAGCAAAATCATGACGTATACACTCATGTGTTTTGTCTCTTTTAGTCAGCATAATATTTGTGACACTTACTCATATTGTTGTGTATTTAATTCCTTGTATTACTGAGTAGCATTGTGTTGTATGAATATAACAGCTTGTTTATCTACTCAGTGGCTGATACAAATTTGGTTTGTTTCCAATGCTTAGCTGGTATGAATCAGTCTGCTATAAACAACCTTGTAGAAATAGGCAAAGGAAGATGTATCCTCATTTATGTGATTGAATATCCTTTGTGAAGTTTTACATTTGGGTTTCATTTGCATGAATGGAACAGTAGTTGTAGAGATGGTTCTCCACCTTTGAAAGTGAAAACCTTGAAAACTAAGATTCCTTGCTGCATCCTGCTCTGGAAATGGTGCTGTTAGATGCAGGGTTATTTCTTCACTGATTGTTTATTCAGCAGCTATCAGTTAAGCTGCAGTTTGACAGTTGAGGAAATTTTAATTAGACAACATTAAAAATTTATTGTTAATTTTGTTAGAGAGATAATGACACTTAGTATTTTTTCAAAAGATTCATACATACTAAAATACCTGTGGTTCCTTCAGTATTTGCTTTAAACACGGAAGTAACAGAGCCAGTGAAAGAAACAGAATAAAGAAAAATGGCACACTATTGAACTTGCTGATTCTGGGTAATGATACATGTAGTTCATTTCTTAGCCCTATTTCATCGGGTATTTGGAAATAATAATGATTAATTTTGATGGTCAACTTGATTGAATTCAGAAAAAACATAGAATAGAGTGTGGTGATGAACAGAGGCAGGTGAATCTCTGTGACTTTGACGTTAGCCAGATCTACATACCATGTTCCAAGCCAGCCACAACTACACAGTGAAAAAAAAAAAAAAAAAGAGGAGGGAGCAGAGCAAGACCCATTACTGAGCTGCACCTTGGGTGTGACTCTGGGGATTCTTACAGAGAAAATTGACTGAGGGAGGCAGACCTGCTCTAAATGTGAATGACACAACCCTATGAGATGGTGTCCCAGACTGAAGAAAAGGAGAAAAGGAGAAAGCTACTGTGGAATTTTTTCTCTGTCCCCTTCCCCCCAGATAAGAGCTAGCTCCCATAGCCACATGCTACATCTGTTCCGTGCCTTTTCTTTCTTTTTTTTTTTTTTATAAATAATTTATTTATTTTTGAACATGAAATGCTTTTTTATAGCATGTTTCACAAGGGGAGGGGGTAAGAGGGGCCAGATGGTGGAAAAGTACAAAATCTTCTTGGCCTGTGCCTTGAAACATGTCATGGTCTATACGGTACACTGCCTTGAATTATGATCTACCTGCTGTTCTTCAGAAGATATGGTACACTGCTTGAGATATGGTCTCCCTGCTATTCTTAAGATGATATGGTGCACTGCTTTGAGTCTATCTGCAGTTGCTAAGCAGGATCTTGCAGTTGCCAAGCTTCAGAGGACATTGTGCAGGTGGGGAAAGGTAGGGGGTGAGGGTAAGGGCGAGGGTCCTGGCTTCTGGCATCTCCCCCTTCTCTGTTTAGTTAGAGAAGGCATCTTATGATCAATCCCAACTATGTGAATTTTGAATTTGGATGTCTAATTATGGGGGGTCTTAGACAAGTTCACAACCCCAAAACACTGATGTGAGACGAGTCACATCGATGGTCGAAGGTTTTAGGCTGTCGACGATGGGCAACGTCAAGGGACTCCGATGTGGGTGAAAGGAGGGTGAGGGCCCTGTCTTAGGCCATGTAGGCTGCACCCACTCCCAGCACCACGCACTCCTTTTCGGCTGCATTGGGTGGGCCCCTGGGAAGTGGACCTACAATAATCCCGTCATTGGGCTAACTCACAGCCATCCTAGTCCCTTGTAAATGTTCAATTTACCAACCATTTGTCAGTTTGGGGTGTAATATTGTCATAAAGGAAGGCTCCCCAATGTTAGCGGCCATATCAAGGGCGGCCTTGGTTTAGGAAAAAGCCAATTTTTGTTGTGGTGATCAAGAGGCCAAGCTCTCTATCGAGAGAAACGGGGGCAAAGCCAGGCATACCAGGAACCCTTCTGGAGGGCGTGGAAGTCTAGCGGTCGACCGTAGGGGGGAGGCAGGGGAGCTGGCAGCTGTGTCAGTCTCCTGCAGAGTCACTTCTGGATCCTCTTCAATTTTCGGCTGATGGTAATGAACTTCAACCGTCTTCTTGATGGCAGCATCAACCTGGTTCCGTGGATGACAGGTCGCGGGTTTTGATCTCTGTCTCGCTTAATCTTGATGTCCTGCGCACATCCTCTCAATGAGGGTCCGTCCAGAGGGGTCCGTGCCTCGAGCCCCACGTCTGGGTGCCACTTGACCCGACTGGCAGGCCCTAGTTATTCGTGGGGGCGAGGAGGACTGCAACCTGCTATTCTTCAGAAGATATGGTACACTGCTTGAGTTATGGTCTCCTTGCTATTCTTCAGATGATATGGTACACTGCTTTGAGTCTATCTGCAGTTTCCAAGCAGGATCTTGCAGTTGCCAAGCTTCAGGGAACCTTGTGCAGCTGGGAAAAGGTAGGGGGTGAGGGTAAGGGCGAGGATCCTGACTTCTGGCCCATCTGGATTAGAACTTCTAATGGCAGGCATCACGGGTGATTCATTTTTGCCTGGAAAGAAAAAAGAAGGGGATTCTCAGGGAGATTTCTCTTCCCTGGATGTAAATTATTATTCATCATATTTATGGTTGGGCCTGGCTTTGTGAGTGTATCTATTTTTTTTCATTAATATTTATGGTAGCCGGTTAGCTGTGCCTTCTGTGGTATTGGACAGGCATATCAGTCCTCGGCTCCATAAGGGAACTGGGTCTGGGGCATTCCCTTTACGGGTATGAGGGTCCTTCCCCATATCTGTGGCAAAGTTTTGTTGGTCTTGGTGGTGCCCGAGGTCACCAACATGGTCAGCAAGAGATTTGCCATGAGCTTTCAGCTTAAGAGAGAGAAAAGTGAACAAGGCATGATGGAGAGTATTTCAGGGGGGCTCCTTCTGAGGGGGTACCGTTCCCCCTCTTTTATTTTTAAAGCCAATTTTTCAGAGTTCTTGTAAAATCAGGGCTGAAGCGCCAACAGTTGCTCCTTCTACACTCAGAGAGTCATGAAGACCTTATTTAAGGATATATAAATCTATATTTATAATCTTTTGTCAAAGGACTTTTATAGCACCACTGACAATTAATCAGACTATATGATATATCGATTGGAAATAGCTTTTTCTACTTTTTGTGAGATTACCTCTCTTTTGTCAATTAACTGTTGAGGAAGTTAGGGTTTACCTCTCTCTTGAGAATATTGATCAGAGATTTAAGTTCTTTTGTGGAGAGCTTAAAATAGTATCTTAGCCAATTTGCATCTCCTAGAAACTTTTGAAATTAATTTAAGATAAGTAAACTCCCTTTTTTAAAAAAATCCTTTATCTGTGTGGGGTTTTTATTGGAAATTATACGTGTTTACCTTTCAATGTTATCTCTTTTCTCATTCTCCCCCAAGATCCTTTATCCCCTACCCCTTCCTCCTAATTTTTGTGATGGTGTGCTCCAAACATCCTCCCAGTCCCATCACCCTGCTCTCGAATTCCCACACAGTAGGGAATCCAAACTTTCGGGGACCTTAGCCCTCCACTTTCACTGAAGTCTAACAAGGACACCCTCAATTCCCTATACAGGTGTGTGAGTCCCTCCCTTTGTGTTCTCTGGTTTAGACTTTGGGAGTTCTGGTTGAAACTTTTGATACTCCTTCTAGAAAGGACCAACGAATTCATACTTTGGTCTTCCTTCTTCTATGTGAGTTTTATGTGGTCTGTATGTAGGTTCTTAGACATTGTGAGCTTTTGGTCTAATATCCACTTATCAATGAGTGCATACCAAGTATGTTCTTTTGACATTGGGTCATCTCACTCAAGATGATATTTTCCAGCTCCATCCATTTGCCTAGGAATTTTGTGAACTGATTGTTCTTAATAGCTGAGTAGTATTCCATTGTATAAATGTACCACATTTTCTGCATCCATTCTTCTGTCGAAGGGCATCTGGGTTCTTTCCAACTTCTGGCTATTATAAATAAGGCTGCTATGAACATGGTGGAGCATGTGTCCCTGTTGTATGGTGAAACTTCTTTTGGGTATATGCCCAGGAGTGGTATAGCTGGGTCCTCAGGTAACACTATGTTCAATTTTCTGAGATATCGCCATACTGCCTTCCATAGTGGTTGTACCAGTTTACAATCCCACCAACAGTGGAGGAGTGTTCCTCTTTCTCCACATCCTCGCCAACATGTGCTGTCACCTGTGTTTTTGATCTTAGCCATTCTGACTGGTGTAAGGTGGAATCTCAGTGTTGTTTTCATTTGCATTTCCCTGATGACTAGTGATCCTGAACACTTCTTTACGTGCTTCTCAACCATTCGAACTTCCTCAGTTGAGAATTCTTTGTTCAGCTCTGTGCTCCATTTTTTAATAGGGTTCTTTGATTGT